GATGTGCATATGCATGAGTGTGTGGTGCTTTTTGGTTTGGTTTTGGTACCTCACGGCACACATTTTTGCAAGCCAAGCTTCCGATATCCCTATCTACACCTTAGCGGATCGAACAGCTATATCGGTGCTTTGTCCTAGCCACATATATTGGATTTCATGTGTTGCCTCCCTTACTATGTAATTCCAACCAGCTAATAGATTTGTATATTGTACATCGGCCGAAAACGTTGGTGGCAGTTGACCGAAAAGAATACTTTGTAAGTTAACATCGAAAGTATGACTATGTACCAGAGGGAAGCCATTGCATGTCTATTTAGGTCAAAATTATTTATGTAAACATGGACAAGCACTTGAAAAGTACATATTTATCAGTCCATTCAAGTTTTGTTCTCCCCTTGTCTCGATCACGTAGGAACACTTCAAGTTTGAACAACTTAATATTAATTGGATGAGGTGGAAAGCTGCCGCATCCAATGCAATTCACAGACCCGAAGCACATAAATATCTGCTCGATATGCCAAGGTGTAGATAGGGATATGGGAACCTTGGCTAAAAAAGATGTACAGCACAGCAAAACAAGTTGGTTATTTAGTGCCTAGCCAATGGGAATAAAGGTCTGGCCCAAGTGCATACCACGGTACCTGACGCTGGTTGGTTGAGTGATGTTAGCCTTAAATAAAGATCAGAACACAAACAATTTAAGATAATACCTGATAAACCAGATCAAGTGGTGATGAAGAGGAACTTGTAAAATCCTGACAACACCTTTTCAATTAGAAAGAAAAGAAAATTCAGCGCGACTTTATTTTCAAGGTCAAGGTCACGTGTCCTACTAATTGGGATTGTCTCCTTTCGCTATTTACATACATGTATGCTCAAGATTACGACAATACACTGTATCAAGTAAATATAACCATTTTATTTCCAGCAATACATTTATAGATTTGTAAAAAAAAGCACCACTATTTATATTTCTAATAAAATATTTCAAATTTAAATACTAAGAGACTCTTGCCACTCGACTTTGACATTGAATCAATAATGGAGTCACAATTCATTTTCAAAATGATGTCTTCTTGATTACTTTGGATAAAACGTCATAGCACTCATACAACCACTGTGAACTTAGTACAGCTTCTGATCTTGAGAATATGTAAGTGCTTTATAATATTAGATAAAACATATAAACGTACACAACGACAAGATTACAGAAACAATCACCAACAAATTTAACAAACAACACGAAACGAAATAAGGAGTAAATATTATTAAGTATTTAAAAATTTTAAGTCAGTTTTTTATACTTGAAATAGATACGCTTTAAGGGCAGTCTTAAATACGATCATAGTTCCCATGTGTCTAACCTCTACAGGCAGTTTGTTCCACGTAGTTGTCGCATTTTATGCACAAGGATGTTGTATGACTTCTTTTGGACAGTGGGCTAGACCGATCCGGTGGCCTAGTGGTTAGAGCGTCCGCCTCGGATGCGAGATGTCGTGGGTTAGATCTCCAGCCGAGTACTACCAAAGACTTATCAAATGGTGCTAATAGCTATCTCGCTAGGCGCTCAGCATTAAAGTGTTAGGGCTGGTCGGCCAGGTGTCGGGATAATGTGACTGAGTGGGACATCATATTACATGTCTGCGGTATGATTACCCAGTGCTCGACATTACTATAAACTGCCACACTGCAGACATCGTAGAAATTTGAATAAAACCTTTTTAAAGCTCCGATAAAAAACCAAATCACACACACACTCACACACACACACACACACACACACACACACACACACACACACACACACAACAGTGGGAACAATGAGAATGTGGTTGCTGGAAAAGAGGCGTAAGTTTCCTAATGGGATGAGGTTAGATAGGTATGTTGGACTCAAGTCAGCAAAATGTAACATAGTGAACAGATTTGTTTGATTCTGGATCGAACGGGTTGCCAATGAAGGTTACGGTTCTGGGTGGGAAGGAGTTTCTGTAGTAGATACTGAGACGAAGCAGATAATAGTGAATAGTCCACTCTTTAAAATACTAAGAAACACGCCTGTATTTTGGTGGTATCAACCGAAAGAAAATTAATAATGAAACTGATGTGTCTCAGCTCAAGATAAACAGTAATGAGTGACAGCAAGGTATCATACGGACTATAAATTTTATGTTGGTATTACTTATGCTTACTGTCTATGGTAAAGGATGTGAATGAGAAAGTCTTTGCATGGTGATTAGGATAGCTTCAGTTTTATCATCTTCCATCTGCAGCTTGTCACATGTCATCCATGACTTCTAATTGGAAATTCACTTCCCTACGCCTTGAATAGTAGCCTCGGCTTCAGTTGGACAGATAGATTTGTATATGAGAGTGTCATCAATGTACAATTGGCGAAACACCAGATGTCGATATATGACACGTGAGAGCGGCTGAGTGTCGAAGTAAACGGTTCGAGAACAGAGCCTTATGCAATACCAAAGCAAAGATCAACTGGGCCGGAATGGTTTCCATTTACGGACACAATTTGTGTCCTGTTGACTAACTATAACTATGGCTTGAACCATAGTAAAGCTGCATCGTGAAAACCAAATGCATGCTGGAGAAGGTGAAGTAATAGATCGTCGTCTATTGTTTTAAGGCCGCAGACAACTCAAAGAGGGTAAGGACTGTTATCCTTCCACTATCCAAAGCAGAGAGAATGTTGTTAACTACTATTGGAAGGGAAATTTCTGTACTTTGGCGAGAGCGATATGCAGAATCTCCATTGTTAAAAAGACTATTTGCAGTCAGATGTGATACAAATTGAGTATAGAAGAACATTTTCTAAGACTTTTGAAATGGATGAGAGTTTTGGAACAAGGAAGTAGTTCTTTAAATCGTTAGGGTCCAGAGTCGGTTTCGTCTGCAGAGGCTTTACAATGGCAGCTTGAATAATGATGGGAATCCCTCAGATGAGAGAGATGTTTAACATCTGTTGGTGAAGGCGATATTGAATCTAAGCACTCAAGCAGAAGTGATGTCGGAATCGAGGCTAGCTGAAGTTAGGACATTCTTCATCACAATCGTATGTACCAAATCGACAGATATAGGCAGTGCCGTTTAAGGCAAAGGCACGCGAGGCACGTGCCTAGGGCCCTGAGCAGCAGGAGGCCTTTTCGGCAAACCAAAAACAAAATTTCGGTGTCGGTTGTGTTTGCAGTTTAGTAATATATTAATAAATTTAACTAAATGACACACATGTACATGGAAATGCAATGCAATACTCTATATCTAAGACTGAGAGACTGAGGCGCAAATTAAGATACATTTAAGGTAAGAGTTTGTGCCTAGGGCTCCCAAACTTTCTAAATCAGCTCTTGAGATAGATTCAATTGCAATTAAAGTTTTCCGTGTGTATTCTATATCACAAATACATGGTGACAATGAATCAATTGAAATTATGTTGTCACGCTCATCTCTAATGGATTGAACTGTCATGGAAGAAATTTAAAAACAAGTCCAGAAGGTCGACGGGAGAGAAGGTTGTTGGAAGCGGTGTACATGTATTCCTAACCCTTTAATGTCCGTGATCTCGAAGAGATCTTTTCATCTGGAATATTCAGTGATCTTGGAACTGTAGTAGGCTGATTTTGCTGCATGAACTATGTTTGTAACATTCTTCTTAGCAGCTTCATAGATCTGCTTATGAATAGCAAGGACTCTGAAATATATGTAGCTTCATTCAATGCACAATTGAGTACAGGTTGGTAGAGACGGTGCTCTGTTTATGAAGAAAGAGCTGCAGATTATGGTAATAATGATGTCCTATTTCTTTCAGTTAAGTTTTATGCACCATTTAGCAGTGAGTGTGTGAAATACTAATTTATAATAACAACAATTACAAACTTTTTTTCCCACAGACTTTGATGCGGTGTACAGCAATATGGAGTTTGCAAGCTGTGAAAGTGAAATGCCATATGCACTTACGAATAATCTGAGTAGTGTAGGAGAAGTGCATTGTTAATAAAACGTGGAGAACTTTAACATTATTTCTTTCCTGCACACGTTGTTTGCAAATAAGATTGATTCTTGTCAGTCCTGAACAACCTTGACAGTAGATTCTAGGAAAAAAAAGTATGAAAGCCCGTATTGGCCAGAATCAGCATTTTATGATGAAGACATGAACACAATTCTCCATGTAATTTGGTAACAATAATAATGACATAATTTTAGTCACAAGCATTATGATGTTCCTCAAAATGAAGAGTCTGGAATATTCATATTATCTGCTCACAAATCCTTTTGTACACGCTGAACAATCTAGTGTAACGCAGTTGGTAATTCAGTTTTGTAAGCTTTATTAAAGGAATTGTTAGTTTAAAACTCGAACCATTATTTAGATATCCTAACAATGGGTGCAAGGCAATCTGTGGAAAATCTATGACTTTGGTCTGCTAATATTTGTCCTGTATAAAATCATCAGCCAGATTAAACTGCCTCATTGTATCTTGGTTTTTAAAACAATCATGTCTTTGCAAATGACTACACGGTATAACGATAACGACAAAATTATCCAGTCCAGTGTTCAAGTGTCATACCAAAAACAACACAAATGACTAGTTATCACAAATATATAAAAATTTATTTTTTTAAATAAATCACCACTTATATGAACATAACTAATTTTATACATATAGGTGCAAACTCTTTTCCTAGCCATGACCTGTTCGATACACCGTACAATCCATTGTATAAAAACACATGGCTGTATGCATGTCATATTCCCCGTGATTAAGTGTGTGATTTAGATTTTTAACGTAGTTTTAACAATTTTGCAGTCATATCGCTACCATGTCTGCAGTGTGGCAGTTTATAGTAATATCTGGCACTGGGTCATCATGCCGCAGACATGTAACATGCTGTCCCACTCAGTCACATTATTCCGACACCGGGCCGACCAGTCCTAAATGCAGAACGCTAAGAGAAGCAGCTGTTAGTACCATTTTTTAAAGTTCTTGGTATGACTCGGCCGAGGATAGAACCCGCGACCTCCTGCATTCGAGGCGGACACTATAACCACTAGACCACCAGATCACCGTGATGTTGCATGTTGCGCTATAATTCGTTTAACATTCACGATTTTGACAATCATGACAGCCACCAGAATACAACTATAAAGTATACAACTGGTAATATATCCTATCTAATCAATTTGTAACTTTGTTAAAGGTTGTCTTTTTATTAATTGATTCAATCTCTTTTTACGAAAAGTATCTTTTCACATACTGACGGAAACGTATACCACATCTGTAATGGATCTTATGTTTGCAATAAAATTCAATATATCACATTTATGCATACCTACAATATTTATTTAAGATAAGTAGCTAATGGCAAGTATTTTTCGTTATCTTTAGATGGATATTAAGAACGAAAGAAAGCTAATAACCGACAATGTGACCTTTGGCAGAAGAATACTTACAGAAGTACGTGCTGTGAAAGATGTAATGAACAAAAGTAAAATGAAAACAAGCAATTAAGTCATTTTACGGTGTTATTTCAGGGACGTCTTTGTTATTAACAGAACCGATCAGAACTGTACTTTCAATACGGAAAATTTAATAGGTTACAAGTATGCCTGTAATATGACTATCGATCAAGTAAATGACTGGATCGACTGGAAGAAGAATAAAATGGCAGCTAAGATTACTTAGCATCGTGATGCTTGCCACGTGCATTGTATTCCCAATGTATATGAAAACTGTAGCGCTCCTTGCGTCTTGGTTAGTCTTTGTACAGCACGATAATTACAAAAGCTGAATACTGTCTAAATGCCCTGATCTATTGCGCATAAAATACAATATGATATTGTTTATTTTAGCTCAAATAAATTCATTTTCCGCAAAAAAGATTGTACCTGAGCATTTAAAAGAGATTATTATGTTAACAATATATAACTTTAAACTCAGTGCGTACTGTAAGTGATATATGACTATACTACACCCACCCATCCGCTAAGCCAATTAGTATTACCAATATCCCTTAAAACGTATGTACGTTTATTGCAGAGTACGAGCAAAAAAGAGAGACAACCCGGTCAAACCGCTTGATTCTATGTTACGAACGGCATTGTATTATAAGCACATACGATGACTATCTATCTATCTATCTATCTATCTATCTATCTATCTATCTATCTATCTATCTATCTATCTATCTATCTATCTATCTATCTATCTATCTATCTATCTATCTATCTATCTATCTATCTATCTATCGTTTGAAAGTTTCTGTTTGGATAGAAAAATATAGCAGAAGGTGAAAATAATATTTGTAAAGACAGCGCTAGTTGTCGTGATGAAGAACGCGAGAAAGTCACGTGAACTACATCGATTCCGACATCACTGCTTCTTGAGTGCTGAGTTTCAATATTGCCTTCGCTAATCGATGTTATAAATGCTTCTCTCTCATTCCGTGAATTCCCACCATAGTTCAGAACTGCTATTGTAAACATGCTGTTGAGGAAGTCAATACTTAACTCAAACGATTCAGAACAACTACATTACTGTTTCTAAACTCTCCCATACTGTCCCCTCCACAGCCTACACATTTGCTCCAGAGTCCAAATCCAGTCGAACAGATCTTTACGTGTACGCACCCTCTTTATCCTTACGCTCCTCATCTGACACTTATATTCTCGTTATTCTCGTTTTTCCAATTGTCAATACCAAGTCCTTCTGATAAGGTCTTTTGGGGGTACCAGGCCCCAGCTACTGTAATGAATTACTTCTTGAACCTTGGCACAGTTATACTGTAATGAGAGCGCTCCAAAAACTTACTTAAATTGTAAGAACAAATTTAAGACATAACAATGTTTTGTTGCCTCAAATTTTTTGCCATGTCTTTTTTAATAATTTTTGCTGATATATAATAAGATGAACTATATCCGGTATTTACGTAGGAAAAGAAACTTCTCTTTTTGTGAAATACCAAACGTGCTCCAAAATTTACCCCACATTCATCGGATGATCATATAAATACATGTGATTTAAGAGAGCGTTATTATAGGGTTGACCTAATCTGCCGCAGTAATTTACAGCTTTTACATTTTGTAAACTATCTGACCCTATTTGAAAATATAGCAATTCCGATTTAGACATAGGGTTTGGATGCTGTGAAGGAAGTTAGGGGAATAAACTTTTGATAGACTTGAACGTCTTGTGGTGAATGTCCTCAAAGATTAATTTTCATGTCTGAAATGAAATGAAGTTCTGTTTATTTGTTCTAGCTGACAAAGTACTTAATTTGACACACTGCGAGATGGAAATCTAATATTTTCACGTGCAAACACAAGTATATATTTATGAAAATACAGCAATAAAAAATATGAAACTTTTGTCGCTAACGATCTTTTTCAGAGAACATTAGCTGGCACACATCTGCCCACAGGAGCCCTATTCATTGCAAATCGGGACGGAAGAGGCAGGGTAGGAGAGCGTTGGTATGTGTGAGAGGGCACTTATTTCACAAAATAATTGTAACTTCTAGTCTTCACATTAACATATTGTTTATCGGTTTGACTTTAGACGATTTCTTGTATGGTTTGCGGTCCAAATTTTGAACTGAGATCTTACTCAAGGTGAGAAGGTATATAGGAATAATAATCACGAATATAGATGACCAATCAGGTGTAGAACCATATGACTGTTCATTTACATGGATAATCGTTTTGTTCAAAAAAGGATATTTCTCATGCAGTAGAACATTGTTTTCGAGGTTCGCTTCCATGTTAACGATAAAACTTTTTGCGTTGAAGAAGTTATCTGGACCGTAAGCTGAATAAAGCGGGGTAAAGTATTATTGTTTGTTCTTATTTTAGTGTGCATTTTAAATGATTTTATTTAAAATGCAACAGTTCAGGAATAAAGTACATTCCTCTCCTTTGTCAGTGTATTCTGGCAAAACTTCTTTAACTTGGTGGTTGTTATGAGGGGTCGAATTTGTTTTTAAGCTTTTGCCATCCTAATTGAAGAAGTTTGTAATGTTGTTGTAAAATGATGTCGGATCTCTATCTCTCTCTCTCTCTCTCTCTCTCTCTCTCTCTCTCTCTCTCTCTCTCTCTCTCTCTCTCTCTCTCTCTCTCTCTCTCTCTCTCTCTCTCTCCTTTAAAAATTCTGTCAGTTTGATTCATATGAATTGCTGCTTTAAATCTAAAATGGATTCGTGGCACCTATCACCCTCTTTTTTATTTTATTTTACAAAGATTTCCGGTCATAAACTTTTAAATGTAATTTTAATATACTTTTTTTAAATGAGGAAGTATATGTCGTATTTTTTAACCGTAGCTCACATATACGGCCCATTACGCATAAAAATGAAATATAAAACGGTATGAAACACAATACTACTATTCAAATATAAGAAGGAACAATAAAACGTTGGTTAATTTCCACCCATAACCAGTCCTTATTATACGTGTGCTTTATCGAAATTCGTTACAATATTGTGTGCTACCTTTGTCAGGATGTAATAATCATTATTAATCAATCACAGGGGGTGGTAAAACGTAAATCTGTTGAATCTCTCTTTTATACCCAGGATTTAATTTCATAAAGCTCGAGAATAATGTTACAGTTTTAAAGCCAGGAGACAGTGAGAGCTTTTTATATGCCGTATTTACCCGAATATAACGTGGATCTAATTGTGATTGCCGTATATGCATGTGTATAAGGTGGATCCATTTACAAAAAAAAAACAAACAAAAAAAACCCCCTTATACTCAGATCTGCTGGCGTATAATGCGGCGGCATATCAGATGTTATGATAGGTTGTTTTTTACTTATTACTCCCATTAAAGTGCTTTTACCTAAATCTGTATGATGCACTATACAAAGGCAGATCTAGGTTCATGGTCGTTTGATCTGAGTAATACACGAGTATATAAAGCAAGTTAAGGAATATTTAGGAGTCAAAATGTATCTAAACTTTGTTATTAAATTACGATATACTGAGTAAAAACCTAGACTCGATTTTAATTGCTGAGTTTGCCACAAAAAGAAAGATTCCATCCGTCTAAACATTCTCCTCGTTGTATTTGTCAGGTAAATGAAAACCTTGTCTTTAATAACTGTATAAAGACAGCATTCTTATATATGCTGTAATGTTATCAGTTACAATTAAAACACGTATTCGAATGTGATTAACCTATATATCGGTCTACATAATGGTTAGATTTGAAATGAAACCTTTGTGTAAACGATGTTATTCATGTAAAAACCGGTTAGCTCTAAATAGAACGCAAGATGCTTTTGTTGCTAAAAATAATTAAAACCTTGAAGAAACAATAGACGCAAAGTTTGTGCACAAGGATACAAAATTGAGAAAACACAGCCTGGAAACAACAATCTACATGTCTACGTACTTAACCTTTCACGAGGTTTGGATTTAGTCTTACATGCACCATTCTGCATATCGCAAGAGGTGAATAATGGAGAAAGGAGCTGCAGTGGTTCAGTTGAATGAGAGTTAACATCCTGGCATACAATCAGTCCAGTTCTCTGTGGTTTCTCTTGGCAAGGAACTTTGCTTCAACTGTCTCGGCACTCCGTAAAAGATGTGCTGTAAATCATCAAACCAGATAAAATGTTCCATAACTGTATTTTTTAAAGAACAAAATAATTACATTTTTAATTTGCAAAAATATTCGTCTATTGTTTCGATAGATAGTAAATATCGTAGCCATCAGTTTTGTTTAACTGTTTTAGTTTTCGATGCGTGATTGCTATGTAGCAACCAGCCGTTTTCAAAATGTTTCTTGTACATATCTGTAGGCTAAAGCAAAATGTCCCAAACATTAGATGTTCCAACTAGGAAAGTGATTATAGTGTATAATTTTTGATCCGTCAAACTTTTCAATGGTGTTTAAACAGTGTCGCAATCTTGTTTTCATTTCCAAGGTCGTATCCAACTCCTCCTGCGTTGTATGTTACATAGTTATCTCCTTTCTCACGTTAATTCGTTTTTTTTTTTTAATCTGTAAATTGCTGACTTTGGTTTACAACCGAATAACTTCAAACTACATTTTATCATTTTTT